CGGTTCCCAGGAAGAACAAGGGTGTTAGCAAAATCTGTCAAATGAGCCAACAGCCTTAGCACTGAAGGTGGTTGCAGGTATTGCATCTGTGCTACACTTCAGCCAACTGCCCTTGGGATGGAGCATGCCATTTGTGCATGGTTTTGTTTATCCAGTTCATGCACACAGTCAGAGGTAAAGGCTACACTTGTTTATCCGTTTTCCCCCCTTCTCTGCTTTGAATCTCAGTTGAAGTTGGCAGTAAATATGTCATCTTTCTTTGGCAACACATAAGGGAGACCAAGCTGAGGCCTTTGCCTATGAGTCCTAGATTAATTCAGTCCAAGTTGTTTTCATCAGATGCTGCAGATTACAGGGGTGGGAATCTGGGTCCAGCCTCTCTGAGGAACTGTCAAGTGATTAAAGCAGATCTGTGATTCCAGCCTTGGCTGTCCACTAGCACAGAATGTTAATTTCATGGAACATGACGGCAACACACGAACTTGCCAGATTTAATATTTTTTCTGTAACTGATCTACATAATACTTATTTGGGTCCCTCCCCACCCTGCCTTCCACCCTCTCTGAAATTTGACTATACCTGTTTGCTGTCTTTTTTCAGTAAGATGCATCTCAGTATTTTGGGAGAGGCACCTGGCGTGTCAGACCTGGGACTCGTCTTTGAAAGTGCCATAATCTTTGTCCAAGTGTGCAGCACTTCAAACCAAATGACTTGGAGAGATATAAAGAGCATCTTCCCCAGTCTTTTCCCTCTTTGCATAGAAATTGTTGATATCAACCCTGTGGCTCCACAGGGAATAGCAGTACTTGGACCACACATACCCCAGGCAGGGGTGCTAAAGGATATCCCATGGTTATGCCATACCCCATGAAAGCCTATGGCCTACTTTGGCTTTCCAATGTTAGAGACTCAAGCAGCTTCAAACTTAGTATTAACTCCCACCTTCAATCTCCCCAAGGAGCAATAGGGAAAACTAATAGAAAAATTTGGAAAGCTTTAACCTCCTAGGCACTCAGATTTGAATTCCTCTAATCAGTTAGTGAAGTGAGCTGTCTGCTGGATGAGAAAGTTGTTGGTACTAGGGAGAATTGGATGACTGAAGGAGTTATGACATGGAGTCTTGTCCCAGATCACTGACTCCAGTCCATTTCAGCAAACAGCCATAGTCTACTAATACAGGTAGCATAATTGGCCATTTTGTTATTGCCAACATGCGCTAGGCCAAATATTAACTGGTCCACAGTCACCATACTTCTTTTTTGTCCTCAGCACTGAGGCTTACTGGTGGAAGATTCCATAAGCTTTGTGGTTCCTGTTTTCTGGATAGATCATCACTCCACAAGGTTGTTGATTATGTTGTATTAGCAATAAGATACACCAGCTATTTAATATAAAGGGTCTGGTTCTGAATAAAGAGATTAGGATGGAGCTAAAACAAAGGAATCATAGGAAGGTTGCAGGGAGGTAAATGGCAACAGAGTCTTGGATTCTCTGATGCAGGTTTACTTACACTGCAAAATGCAACCAAAAAATCTCTAAACTCTCTTTTACAACAAGGTTTGTGTGAATGGGGTGCTATCGCCTCAGCCATAGCACCCGGCACACACTGTTACCCCAACAGTTCATTTTAGTACTAATTTTTGCCTGGTACCATAGTGTTGGATGTAGTATATAAACCTACATAGCTGATTTCTGTGATGTGCGTCTTGTATTAACTTGACCATAGCATAGCATAGATCAATTTTGCTTGCACCATCAGGCTAATAAGGATTCAGAAAAGAGAAGGAAACGGAGCAGGAAAAGTTTTAAAGGAATCATTGTGAAATTGAAGAGCACCAAATTATTTCTCCAGTCTGCTTAGAGGCTGGGGGCAAAGCAGGTCTGTGAGTGCTCAAGAGTGCTAGGGTTATCTACCCCAAAATGCAACCGTTCTGCATTCTCTTGCATTGCTTTATGTCAAAGGGTGTCTGACTTGTGTGGATCCATATGATGCAGTTTTGTCTGCTGTCAGGTCTCTTCGGGTTCTCAGCAATATGTGCACAGTCTGTCCACCCAGAAGATGAAAATGTTTACAACTGCAACGGAGACATATACTCCCAGTCAGCAGGTTGAGTCAGTTAGCAGGGAATGTCCAACTGATTGGGGAAAAAAACCAAGAACAGGGTCTGCAGAGGACCCTTGGACCAACAGATGAAGATGTCTGTATATCCAGGGGGTGTGTCAGTATTGGCCAGAGGGATGTGCTGGCATTTCTGCTGCATGTGGAAATTGAAAGCTTGTATCTGAATGCTTGACTCTTTCTTTTGTTGACCTGAATGCAACAACTGCTAAATAATGCTTAACACTTCTAGAGATCCTAAGCTGTAGGGTTAACAGCAGCATAATTTGAAAGGTCCCTGAATCCCAACTGAATCCCCAGTCTACTCCCAAGAATTTGCTGGTACCACAGCTGCTTCTTCCCAATGTAAGGTCCCTGTTTGAACAGCCCCACCTAATGGAAGCACAGCCAAAAGGTTGAAGGTCATGGTTCAGTCTCTTATGAAAAGCTTCACCTTGTCATGATCGACCAGTTTATGGAGTAGTCTTCACCCCCAAGGGACACTGTGCCCAGGGGACATGATGCATTCTGCTGTGGGAAACTGGATAAAGGCATTGAGGACTGTGCTCTGACCCAGGAGGTGCCTGCCAGTCCTGCATTCCTATGAGTGGATAGTAGAGAACAATCCTATAGTTGAGTGCCCAAGGGAGAAGCCAGACATGGCTGAACTCAAACTCTGATGTGTGACTTTAAAGCAGCTTATGAGGAGTTAAAAAGTATACCCTCCTTCAGGAGTTGTGTACTTACCTAGATACGTAGTGTGCAAATTACAACAGATCACAGTCTGGAAACTGTGAAGTGGCAAAGATTGTAGATGGCATAATTACTCCCATTCATTAAGTCTAGGGAATCCACAGAGAAAGCAGAGCCAATAGGTAGCATGATGACTGATGAAAGTCACTGCTGACAAAATGCAAGGTAATGCATGTTAGAAGGAATCTCATACATAGCGCTAGGGGCCTCTCCGACCTAAGAGTTGTAGCTGCTAGGAAGACTCTGGCTTTAATAGTTTTACCTCTTTCTCTCAGGATGTCTTATTGCTGAGTCAGTTCATCCGTTCTGATGGAGGAATGCTGCCCCGGAGGATCACAGGTCTATGTCCGGAAGAGCACAAGAAGATTGTCGTGTGTGTGAAGATGGCTCAACGAGCAGGTACTTTGTCCCCTCTGGGACAAGCTTCATGCTCCCTTTAGGTGACATTTAATTCTTAGTGAAAGAGGGTGAAAACCTGGGGGGAACCCTCATTCGCAGGCTGCCTAGTGTCAGGACACAATGATGGCTATAGGCATTCTGCTCATCACTGTCTGCCAGGAATGAAGGAATTCCAGCAGTCTCCTTTTTGTCACCCAGCCCTTGGACCTCTCTGGCACACCTTAATCCCAGGCTGCAGATTAGTCCACCATTGCAGAAATCTGTGGGGAAGGTTTCATTTCCCAGTAACCAGTGCTGAGACGACAGCATTTGAAATGGTGAGCTTTAGTGCAAGCCTCCTCTTAGCCAGTTAATATTAATGTCCTTGTCTAGCTCTGCCACCTGAAGATAACGGTGGAAATATCCAGTAAGCGAAGTTCCTTCTGCTGAATCCACGATAAATGGCAACAGATTTGAGAGGGTAGCTTGTCATCCTGGAACTAAATAGATATTGATGCCCTTATTCTGGGGAAAAAGCACCATGGTGGTGTCTTCATTGTTCACATGTAGTTGAGTCTTTGATTATAAGTTTCAACTAAAATGCAACACTTCCAACAGTACTGTCCCTCTGATCTAAGCTAGGACACTGACTCAGTATTAATTCTGAGGAAAGACTGGTTCTGAACTACAGCATCTCCTGGGTTTTCTCTGTAGATCTCCCAGCTAAATACCAGTGCGGTACCAAGGGACTACTGCAAAATCTCTTACCTTTCCTTTTCTCTCTTAGGTTTGCTGCCAAACCACAAGCCTCCCCTACCTGAAGGGTTTGTTCCCAAGAAAGCCAAGCCTAAACTCAACAGGTAAACAGCCTTGACTTGTCTCTTTCTTTGTGGGGATTGGAGAAGGGAAGGCGATTCTCTCCTGAACTGGACAGCCCAGACCTACAGAGCCAGGCAGAACCCCATGCCTATAACAAGGGTTGGTGGCACTTCTGAGAAGGAAGTATCTAATGTTGTGGTTCATAGATTTATAGATTGTAAGGCCAGAAGGGACCTTGGAAGATAATTGGGCCCGGCCCCCTGTGCCAAGCAGGAAAGATAACTGGGGGTCAGGTGACCCCAGCAAGGTGATGGTGATGGTTTCTTGCCAACATTACAAAGACTAACTACACCTCATCCACCCATACAGAACTAGGACATGACCAGGCACATAATGTTCCCTTTCTGTTCTTCACATCCTACCGGCCTTCCCACCAATGGCAGTAGGTAGAACAGGAATGGGTGACAGGTGTTGGTGCAGCACCCTGAGGCAAACATACAGGGGAAACCTGCAGCTCGGGCATGGATAGAAGGAGCTCATTGCAGGCATGCATGCATGCTGCACTCTGCCTTGTCTCCAGTTTCCCCTTTTGACTTCAGTTGTTGCTTGCCCTTGGCTTGCCCTTCCTGTGCTACAAGCTCTCATCTTCCTCTACCTTGGTGTCCTATCCCCCACTCCCCTCTCCCCACTAGTATTGAAAGGCCCCTGGCCATTGGTGAGTGAACTGAAAACCTCCCCTTCCCTTGCTCAGTGTTAGGAGGTGCTAATCCCCTGTTTATGACCTCACACTCTGTTTCCATGGGGATGTCAGAGCAGTTTATGAAGCTTGTATTAGCAGGCTGTGGGGTTACCAGAGGCCATGGGCCTGTTGTTGGAAGAATTTAGACTCCAAGCCTCAGGTTGGCCTTGAAGGTCTGGTTTTGGATCTGGTTGTCTCCCATGGAGATCTGATGGGCAGTTCTTGGGAGTTTCTCTGAAATGTTGCCAGGTTGTATATCATGATGTCAGCAAGGTTCAGAAACTGGGGGTCTCCACATCAGAACCCCATGTCTGAGGACACTGAAGCCATACCAGACATAGAGTTCTGTCATCTCTAAAATACTTCATTTATATGTCTTAAAACTCTCTGGGTTTTACTTATTATCAGCTCTCTGTGTGTTTTGTAGCAGCTGTGGGGCAGAGTGTGGTTGCTGTTTAATGTTCACAGGCCAGCAGGATAGTACAGGATATGGACAGTCCGATGCCCCACTGGAATGGATCCCAGAGTTTAATACCCTAGCTCAACTCAGTGCTTCCCAAACTTTTTTCCTTAGCATGACTCCATTTCTTCAGCATGGCTCCTCATTCACAACCTCCCACCTCCATCCGCTGATGTTGTGACCCCATTTGGGGTTGTGACCCACAGTTTGGGAACCACTGCTCTGTTATGTTCTTCCATGTATATTTTATGTCCCTACAGCCAGCAGCATCTAGGGGCACATCTGGTAGCACAGCACTAGCTCAACTCAGTGCTTCCCAAACTTTTTTCCTTAGCATGACTCCATTTCTTCAGCATGGCTCCTCATTCACAACCTCCCACCTCCATCCGCTGATGTTGTGACCCCATTTGGGGTTGTGACCCACAGTTTGGGAACCACTGCTCTGTTATGTTCTTCCATGTATATTTTATGTCCCTACAGCCAGCAGCATCTAGGGGCACATCTGGTAGCACAGCACCCCCCCCCCCCCCCCCCCCCCCCCCAAAACTAAGCTAGGGGATTGCCATTTGAATGACCCTTGCTGTTTCCCCAGTACAGATCTGCAACACCCTTAGTTTTCTCTTCCAACAGGGAGGAAGGAGGTTGGGGTTTGGTTTGGCCTGGGAAGGTAAGGCAGGGGTGTGACTGGAGGAGTCAGGGTGTAGAACTGAATGGGGTAGGTTGCAAGGCCTGTGTTTGTAGTTTCCAGGGGAGAGGGGAAGGAGGGTCAAGAGAACAGGCTGGGAATTGGGGAAGATGAAGACAGAGCTGAGGGAGTCAGTTCAAGAGCTGGGATGCAGTAACAAGGGCATTTCAGGAATGCTGCTGTGGTCCTTTAGGGTATTGTCTTCTCTTATCTGTTGGAGGTAGAAAGCTCCACATTTTTGGAGTTTTGCCATGTCTCAGCCACTGTAATGGTGCAAGGGCTCTGGCCACATGCCTACCCCCACCTGTGCCTCCCACATTGCTCTCTACTACAGTAGCCAGCATTGCACAGGACAGGAGATGTTAACCACTACCTTCCTCCAGCTGTGGGGGGTGAGGTCATTACATGCCACCCAAACCGCCACCTCCTATTCCCTTCCTGGTACACATCTGCGTCAACCAATGCTCTTGTGGTAGAGACACTGGACTAGGCTTTAGAGCCTGGAACTGAGCCAGGACTCCCACTACACGTCCTGCCTGACCTTGGATAAGTCATCTGTTTTTTCTGCACCTCAATTTCCCCATCTTTAAAACCCTCTGCAAATCCATGAACACACAGGAGGTGTTCAGTGTCTGGTGCTGAGCACCCTAAAATCCTACAGCAAGTGGCTATGACTGAGTTGACACAGTGCTGTGAAAGTTGGGGAAATTTAACCAGTTTGCACAGCAGACCTTTGAAGTGTAACATTAGGGCTCCTGAGGGTCACTCAGCCTATCACTATGCCTCTTTTGGGCTTACTTTCAAAGGGCCCAGTTCAGTTAGTGCTTTAGCTGGGGGGCTAAGATCACATAGGGAAAAGGGTGTCTCTGGAGTGACAGGCAATTAGAGGGGTCTGGCCTCTCCCATCTATCCCTTCACAGGCTGCTGTGTTGAGTACTCTGGTCCTTGCTAGCACAGCTTTCTCCACCCCACTTCTGTTTCCTGACTTAAGTAAGAATTCAGTAGTCAGTTTTGCATTTTTGTTCTAAGCCTGGGGGTGTCCTCAGTGAGTGTATGCCAAGAGATGTCCTTATAAGCTGCTGCTGCAGTAACACCAGATGACATCCCACTCCATTTATTAAAGCTCTTGATCACCTTCTGAGGCAAGGGAAACAAAGTGAAATGTTGTTCCCTAAGTGCACCCCATGCAGCCTCTGCGCTGTCCAATTCTGCTGTTGTGCTGCTTTTAGTCCCTTACTGAGTTTGCTGTATGTGTGATGTTATAGTGCCTCTGAGTGCCTGCCACCAGCTGGCCCCATGAGCCTCTGAGTAGTACTACATGGGAGAGCCAGGAAGACAGAGCACTTGACATCTCTCTGCATTTATCCCTTAAGTTGGTTAATGGAGCATCACAGGGAGTCTGTCCAGCTTTGGGGTGAAGAAATATAGCAGGTAGGTTGTGTTTGGAAAGTATGAGTTTGTAAAGTCAGGAAGAGCAGAAGCCTAATTCTTGGAGGGTGTCGGTGCTGAGGTGAGCAACTTGTGTGGATACCTAGCAGTCTCCTAGCTTTTTTAAAGTCCCCCCTCCACATTTGCTCTGTTCCTCTCTCTCCCTCAACCCCTTGTTCCCGGTCACACATTCTTTTGCTGTGGGGACCTGGCATTTTCTTCTCTGCTTTGCCCGTGTAATGGGAGTGGTTCATGCTGTTGGTTTGGTGGAGGGTGACAGGATAGGCAGGCAGGGTTCTGTAAAAACCTGAGGTCTGCTTTCCAGGTGGCAGTGAGAGCATTGCTCCAAACTGAAGGGCAGAGTGTGTGAGCATCTTATCTGTAGTTACACATGCTCACATCCTTTCCTCACTGTTACTGAAATTCCTCTCATTGCTCCCCTGTGCAGAGAGATAAGTAACTCATTCAGCCATCTCCATCCTCCTGCTTGGCCCTTTGCCCTGACTTTAGAAATGCTGCACTCTTGTTTTGGTTGGGGCTAGGAAGGGACTGCGTAGTTCTGTATGTTGCTATGAAAGACCTCTATGAGATGGTGTCAGGCAGGACAAATAGGATTGCGTGGGATGGGCTGAAAATGAAAATCTTTGGTCCTTTGAAATGCTTTGTTGACAGCTGCTCCGAAGTCCTTTGAGCAAGCACTCTTGTTGGCAAGTGAAGTGGTAGGATCAGGGTTGTTTCCTGAGATGGGAAGCTGATAGACTTCCTCCCACCCATCCCTATTTAAAGGCAAAAGAGAGTTGATATTAGCAGCTGTTGAAAGCAGGCTGCCTTGTACCTCAGCGCAACACTAGCTTTATTTCATCCCCACAAGCCCCACACATCTTCCTGCTCCCTGGATAGGTACAGCAGCAGCTCAGCATCTTTGCTAGAGATAGGGGCTGGAGCTCTAACTCTGTTTTCCAAGGTTTGAACTAGATCAGAAAGTAAGGAGTATGAGAGTACATCAGGCACCGCTGGGGAGCCAGCAAGCTCTACTTTCATATGCCTCTTGAGAACTGCAAAGCAGCAGTTCTTGGAGTTTTCCTCTGCTGTACTTGGCCTCCTCAGCCTGAAGTGAATTGAGCCGGCTTCACAGTAGGGACACTCAGGCATGTGCTGGAAGTTATCACCCATATAAGGCAAGGTGCCACAGTAAGAAATAGTCAAGGAAGATGACCGCTGCTTTAGGGAAAACAGAGTTGCTCCCCAGCAGTTCCCACTTGGTACATTGAGATTAACTTGTTTATCCCTTCCTTCCCACCTGCAGATATTTTTGCATGCTCTATCCCTCAATAAAATGCGTCGCTCATACATGCGCTTTGCCCTGCACATACAGCATGCCTTGTCTTCACATTGGTTCCTCCAGGGAAAGATATACCTGCTTCCTTTTGACCCGAAACCAGTTGCATAGTGTTTCTGGTATGCGAGAGCCTCTCTTCACCCTGCTCTGTTCCCTAAAGCATGAGGAGTTACCTGGCAGCCTCCCCTTCCTCCAGTCAAGGTGCTCCAATGTGGCTGGTGGTGCTTGAACCACCCATTCCTGTTTTTACTGCTCACATGTCAGAGGAACAACAGTATATACTGGATCACTGGAAACAGTGACCTTGTGGGTCCTGGCTTCTTCTGAGTGACATGGGGTATCTACAGAGGAAGATGGTCTGATTTAATCATGGGGAGAGTCCCCATTGCTGTAATTCAGAGGAGGAGTCTTGGGAGGGGCAGAAGCAGGTCTAGTGTAAGAGTGAGATGTCCACACAAGCTGTGATCTGAGCATGGTCTCGTGACAGCTTGGCTGGATGGAGGAGATCCTTAAGCAGTTCTCAGTGGCTGTCTGGACACCGCCCAAGTGAGAGACCTCCTTCTGTATTTCTCATTTCTTGGGTATTACTTCTCCCCTTATTTATTAAGTTCCTGCTTGACTTATTGGCATGAACGTGAGCTTGTTAATACCACCTGTTACTTGCTTTACTAGCACAGGGCTCACTATAGAACTGTGGCTCTCAAGGTGCCCTGTGGCCTGTGACAGATTGTAACTCTTGTCCCATTTGCTCCTCCTCCACTGGACATTTTCAAGTATGTGGCTTAGTCTTGAGGCTTCTCCTGTTTCCACAAAATAATTCCACATTTAGGCTGAAGACAGGGGAACAACTCTTGACAGAAGATGTTCCCTAAATGTTCCTTTTCTGTATTTCATCCCATTATTCTTGGTTTTGCTTCTGTTCTGCTCTCACCTGGCATGTCATAAGCTATTTAGTGCTGCAATGACATTTATTTCAGCAGCCAGCTACAGAGGCGGGATTTTCAGAGATTTCACCAGCACTATGTGGAACTGCAAACCATATTCAAATTCCAGAGCCATGTGTGCAGGCCACACACCAGAACAGCTTGGGAAGCTGTCAAGAGCAGCTGCAGATCAAACCTCCCTCCTTGCTTTTAAGATTATAAACCTAAATAGTTGTGCAGCTTCCCTTCCAGTACGTAGATTATTAGAGTTCAAGTGCGGGTGAATGCTGATCTGAGCTGAGTCGCCATTCCAGAGGTAGAAGCTGGAGTCTGTTATGTGGATGGTGCCCAGGTTGTTCCTTTGGCAGGGACCAAAATATTGGTCAAAGCAAAACTTCGTGAAGCCATCGCTTCCAAAAATGAAAGAGTTTGTAATAGGGAGGGAAAGTCACCACTTCCCTAAGCCTGAGAAGGATGCTGATCCCAAGGCATTGCCAGCAGGAGGTGCTGTGGACTGTGAGGTAGGAGTATGAGGATTTGGAGAGCTTGCAATTACTCTGTTCCCAGACTCTCACCAGAAGGAGGTATTTATAGGGGTTGAGGCAGCAACACTGAGGCAGGTAGCTCCCAGCTCCTTCCGTCATACTTCTTTGTCTGCCTCTTGGATGAAAAGAAGTTGTTGTGTTAGGTGATCCCATCATATTTGCAGTTGCCAAACTAGAAGGAAGTATCCCCTGGATATTCTGCATCTTTGTCAGGCTCTGTGGATTTTCCTTTCTTCTTTCTGGGAGTTAAATCTAGCGTCGTAGCTATCTCTGTTTAGCTCAAGCAGCATGTGGTTTCCCTCATCTACACTGAAAGTCTGTAGCCTTGTTCCCTGTATTCTGTGTATTGTGTGAATTCAAAAGCAAAGAACCAAAGCGGCTGCAGGTGAGTGAAGCCAAGAGGCGTCCTGGGAAGGGGATATGGCAGGGAGAAGGCAGCCGTGCCAGCACTTTGATGGAGTACTTCCTGCGCAGGCTCGAGCCCTCTGCCTTCTCTTAATCCAAACAAGAGCCAGATTGAAAAAGTTTAGTCAGGGTTCAGAAGTTCAGCCTTGAGCTGCACCAACATGGCTGCACGCAGGGCTGCAGCTGCCCCATGTGCAGGTGATTTCCTTTGCCTTAGCACATGGAAGCCCTGTGCATCTTCCCCAGGTGTTAAACAGCAGTTTCTGGATACATAGTTAGGATGTGGAAGTAGCTAATTATGCCCTTCCCAAAGCTCTCGTTTGTTGCCTGCATTATTGTAATGCCCAGTGGTCTTAGTCATTGACTAGGACACAATTAGGTTTACACAGCACCAAGCACAGAACAGAAAGGTGGTTCCTGCCGCCGTCGCCAGATTGATAGTCATGTTCATCTTTGGCAATCAGTGGGGCTTCAGTGCTTTGACAGCGGCTCATGTTCTTAGCAGTATGTGTCATGCATCTACACTGTGAGGCTTTATCAGGCTCCAGGCTTAGCCCTGGCATCACTGAACTGGGTAAGAGGATCCTCATTAAGTGCAAGTGTTTCTTGATTGTTATAACAAAGCCTGCTCCTAAGCAGAGGAGCCCTTAAATACAACAATGGCTAGTATAGAAACTTGAATAGGTGCACAAATGACAAAAAAAGGCATTGTACATGGAAGCCAAATTTGCTTGAAAATTCCAGGTGCTGGGCAGGTTCCTTGGCCTTCCCATGTGTGGGTCCTCCCCCTGCCCCTGCTCCCACCTTCCTGAAAAAATGAGTCCAAACAGTGAAAGTGAGGGGCTGGACAGTGAGGAGGAAAGGAGCTTTGCAGCAGAACAACTGCTTCCAGGCTTGAGGGCAGTGCTTGAATCAAGGTAAAAAAAAGCAGCAAAAAAGTAGGACAAGCTTGAGTTTTAGACAAAGCTATTAAAAACTGAAAAGGCAAACTGTGCTCCAGGAAGGGAGAGCGTCCAAATGTCTGTTTCAACTAACAATGAAAAGCCCCAGCCTGCTCTCTGCAAAGGAAGCCAAAAGGCGGGAGTGGAGGGCTGGATTAGACCTGCTCAAAGGAAGAATAACAAAAGCTTTAAAATCAGGCCATTACTAAATCCCCTTTCCTATGCAGAATTGGGGTGTGCACGTCCAGCCCCCAGATGAAAATAGAGAGATTTCTTAAAAAGCCAGGGTTTGTCTAAATCTTCACACAGCATTGATGGGTATCTCACATTCACAGTGCTTCCCTCTTGCAGTGAGATCATTTATTATCATGGGAATACTTTCCCATAAGCAGACGGTCACATGACCAAAATGGCACTTGGCATTTTGTGATGACTTGAAACAATTTGGGATTTCCATCCTCCACTGTAACTGGAGTCTCACTGTATCAGAGCTTGCTGTAGCTGGATGTCTCTGTTGCCTGTGACATGTAAAAGAAGATCTTCTCCCCTTCTGGCCATTAAAGATCTTGCAAAACCTCATCCCAAAGTAAATAGCATTAATCCCATTTTTCTAAGGAAGTGAAAGAGGCTCCAATTCTGAAGGGAAACAATAGTAGGGCACATCCACTAATGTAGAAGCATAACATTAGACATAGAAAGGGACTGACTCAGTGCATACAAATGCCCTGATTCTGTGTTGTGCAACTCTCCTTCTCATTTTGTCTGTCCTGTAGTTACTTATTTGTCCTGGCTACTTAGATTGTAAACTCCTTGAGGCAAAGACTACTTATTTGTTTGCAAAGCACCTGAGAGGCCGCTTCATCTGAGTGGCAGGAGTCCTTGGATGTAATTTGTTTTTCAATTGTTTGGGACCCTAAAAGAGGGGAACATGCTGCCAAAATGTGTGTGGTCTTCCTCTATTCCATAACTGCGTGGCATCACAAACTTTTATTTTACAGCTCCCACGCATGTGGCAGAGCCTTCATTGTACAGAAAAATTAAATAGTTCCTGCACAGAGCACCTATTGGCCAAATTCATGCATGATGCACATGAGGGACAACAAAACCATCATGGGGTAGGATGACAGATTGGGTTACACAAGGATCTTCTGATAATCCAACAGAAGCAGGCAGACAACCTCACTGGACAAAGTTTTTACCCATCTGTTCCAAACTCTCTTTTGTCCAAGTGTTGTTTGGGAAGGTTAAACCAGGGGTTCATTTCAGATTTTCATTGTCTGACAAAATTATCTTTCTCCGAGGACCTATTATTCCCCCTCTACTGGTAGCAAAAGGTTTAAATTATAACAGAACTCCAGGGCGCCCAGCCACAGAACTAGATTTCCAGTAACTTGCTGGATATGAGATCTCAGCTTGTGCTAAAGGCCAGACACCAGCCCCCAGGTTGTTCAGATGCAGGGTTATTTTCCAGGCATCAATTGCTCTTGCTGTCTGGTTGGAATTGCTGTATTTCTCATCCCAACATCTCTTGGAATGCAAAGTTGTTTATAGGACATCATAACACATATGTGGATGAGAATAAATGATTTGGCTAGAATCCTATTCCAAGGTGCCTGCCCAATGGAAATAAAGGGAGACTTTCAGTTGAGAGTCTGGCCTTTATAACTGGTCCACTTTGTTACTCAGACTGGCTGAGGAGATGGTTTCTTAAGAACATAGAATGGGGGAATAAATATAAAGCTGGGTTTTGATGCAGCAAAGGGACCCAGCCCCACATCTGGATAAACTGAATCAGATAGGCAACTTGCCGGGAGCCTTGAGGCTACACCTAATGTATGCAGAAGGAAGCTCATGGCAGTTGCTATTGACTTTGATAGAGAGGTGCAAGATAGAAGCTCCAGGACACAAGACACCTTCTTCCTAGTACCTCTTGAACCAATAAGGTTTTTATATATTGAATCCTGTAAGAGTCCATGGTCCTCACCTCTATATTAAATAGGTAGGGAGCCCAAAGTCACACTGGCCCACCCATTTTATAGTCCTTTTCTAAGTTATTAGCCTAAGACTGAAATGATTTCTTGTTTCTGTGTTCACAGGTATCTCACCCGGTGGTCCGTCAAATCTGCCAAGCCTATCTGGAACAAAGGCCACAAATGGTGCAAAGTCCCCATGGTAGTTGGACATCCTGTGCTGCAGGACAACATCAGATATGGGAACAAACCTATTTATTTGAATCACTGAGGTGCAGTGGAACTTTTTTTTATACCAAACCAGGAGAGGAGTAAAATGTTCATTGTTTCATTGTGGCCCAAGAGATTTTGATTGTGGTTTTTGCAGCAGCAGTCCACCAGAGAAGGGAATCTCTGGAAATTTTTGCCTCAGCTCAGGTCTGCCAGTGGTCTAGGCTTTAGCACTTGTGACTGAGGGGGAAAAGGCCTTGCTGTACCCTCTGCTACTTTGCCTGTCATGATGAAAATTGTGTTAATCATTATTGAAGTGGAATATTTTTATAATCTGTAATGTCCTTAGCTTGAAGCAGAAAGCACGTGGCAGTGGCAGGTGGGCATTTGGCCTGATGACTGCACCTCATTATCATAACTCACTGGCATGATCTGACAAATACAGAACGCATTTGACATTTTGTAATGACTTGGCCTGTCATATTCTTCTTGCAAATAAATTTGTTGCAAGCCACTCCCTCAAGTTTTTTGTCTGATGCCTGGAACAGTGTATGGTTGGTGCACATGTATCATGCTTGATGAAATAACTTCATATCACACAGCTACCACCTACTGAACCCTTTGCTTCCAAAGTCTCAGCTATGGGTCTGTCAGGAAAGGAGATTAAATCTACCAGTGTTAACTGCTGCTTCCTTGCTCATGCCTGCTCTCATGTCTCCTTAAGGCTGCAAAATTATGTTACCCATGGAGGAGTACATAATAAAAGCAGGTTGAGTTGTGTACAGGTTTAGCCAGGAATCTCTGCTAGCATCTGTCATCATGTACAGGAGAAATGGGTGATGGTGGCTGGTGTTAACCAAGAAATCAAACAGGGATTGTTTATAGTTTGAATCTATGAAGGGGAAGCCCTGGAGTCAGACCCTTGTGATTGCAAGATACTGGGTCCCCTCTCAAAGAACACAAGTTGTGGATTCTGTAGCTCTAGGTTTGTCCTTTTGAACTTCTCAAATAATCCCCACTCAAACTAGATATAGAATATGCAGAACTTCAAATCACTAGGTTTGGTAGTGGAACAGTAGTGACTGGGTGAGATGTGCATGAGGACTTGCTGTAGCACTTTTGCTGAGATATGTCCAAGAACAGAATTTCCAGCAAACAAGCAGGCTTAATTCCATGCCTTTTGTACAGTTAGATCTTTCATCATTGCCACTATGAGCTGGAAAGACCCTAGGTTTGGCAAAGCATGATCTCTGCAAAGTCAGACCCCTTCCCTCCCCCTCCCACCCACTGTCTGAGCTTGCCATGTAGTGCAGACTTCTAAGCAAGAGGGAAGATGCTAGAATGTAGAACAAAGGCATCTAGATGCTCCAATTTTCTACAACCAACACTTCTAATTTTCTATTGACACACGATCACAATGGACTTACATACTGCTGAGAAGATAAGGAGCAAGTCTCAGTGGCTTGGCATTCAAAGAAAAGGCCTTGGTTTGATTTCTGAGCTGAGCCTCTTCTTTCCTGAAAGAAAGTGTCATTTTCTTTTACCTGATTTAGGATCTACAGTGGCAGACTGTTGAGAATTCAGTTGAAAGGGCTGAGGGAAGAAGACACATAGCAAAGTATTGAGAAAATCCTTAGGGTGCCATCTGATGCACAGAAAATTCCAGCTGACGAATATAGAGCTTTCACATATGTGTTTATTAGACTAAATTCTAAATACAAATTCTCCAAGTATAAAATATAAATGGAAACATTCTGTCCTTGGTACAGGCACGAGACTCACAGCATGAAGGGCAGGTCCATATTCTTCTCACCAGTGCCGAAGTAGACATAGCCATACTGTTTAGTCATGGGGATGTGGTAGAAGGTTAATCCTAGCCATAGCAGGCTCCTCAGGATGACCACGGTGCCTCCCCTCTCTAGCTGGATGCTCCAGGATCCTATGCAACAATATACATTGGTGAGAGTCATCACAGATGACGGTGTGCTAAGGTCAGGGAGCGGTTATAGTGGGTGCCCCTAGCTAGAACATGGAAGTGAATTCGGGGGTATACAAGGCTGAGGTGGCACAGTGGCATTTCCACTACCTGACTCTGGGGGTGAAGTGATGACTGAGGAACTGCTAAATTGGTATCTGTACCCTTCTGCTCCAGCCCAATAGCAGTATGGGCTGCCTTTTGATTTCCAGGCATTCCCCTCTGGTTTAACTCGGCATGTTCCCACAGCTAGGATGGAACAGGAATTATCTCTGGTTTATGCCTAGAAGTACAGAGATGCTATACATGACCATACCAGGTACAGGGCAGAAGATATTCTAATAAGGTGTCTCTTGCCTATTTGGTCCATCTGTGACATATAAGCTATGTATGTAGACCTGACCCAGAGAAGCTCACATGGAGTCGGGTACTGAACCAAGCCTCTGGCAACCAAGAAAGGTTAGTCTACAGCTGGGGTCTGTTTCCAGGAAGATACATGACATTAACAACAGGAAGACACAGGCCCCTGGCAAATGTTAATACAATCACAGGACTGGGATCTGAGGAAATGTATCTGTGATCACAAAACTACATGCCCTGTCATGCCAGATGTGCACAGCAGGACAGTTTTGGGAATCCAGGATAAAAATTCAGGTCATAATCATGTGACTGCCAGTGCATAGGAAGCCCAGTATCTGGGACCTGCTCCTGATGTCTGGTTTTCTACATGCCTGAACATTCAAAGGATGCCATGCTTCCTGCTATGCCTTTTGAACTTGTCAGTACCTGGGGAGTCTTGGATCCTAATTCTGGGTTTCACATGCACTGGCAAGTTTAAAGGCCTACAGTGCAGCCTGGCACAGGCTCTACCACGGAGGCTTACAGGTGCCAGGCAGAGGGATCCAACAGGCATCCCCTGCCTAGCAAGTCTAAAGCTCTGTGATGCAGCCCTGCCTGTAGGCTGCCTGACAAGGCATTTAAAGGTGCCAGTGTGGGGGAGCTTTTCAGTTTTCCCTCCCCGACACCTTTACAAGCCCTGCTGTGTAGCCATACATGTTTAGCAAGGCTTAACATGCCACACATTCAAATTAAAGTGCCATGCATACTAGCCACAAAGATGTCCCACCTTAAATATGCAACATCTTTGTGGCTAGTATGTAAGGCACTTTAACTGAATCAATATTGAGTTAATTGAATTAATACTGATAATCACATTAATTGAATTAGTAAGAATTAAATATGAAACATCTTTGTGACTGGGTTGCTATTTTATGGTGCAATAAATTGGTTGAACGTGTGTCATGTTACAGTTTATTGTGTGATTAACAGGGATCCAGGTTTTCCGTTTGCTGCAGAAAAATGCGGATTTTCCTCTTTAAAGGAGAAAACTGCAAGAAACAGCGGGTTTCCCCTTGCAAGATGGCAGCCTTCCAGCCTGCAAGGAGCTGCTTAGGGCTGGGAAAGTGGAGGAAGGGGACTGAAGGCAGGGGTCACCATACACATGGCCAGCATACAGCCAGGCAGGGTTGTAAGATGCAGGTAAGTCTATGGGGGACAGAAATTGGAGGGCCAGGGCTTGGGGACTGTCTGGGGAGAGTATGTGGGGCATATGAGTCTGTGTATGCATGGCAGGGATGTGTAGGGAGGGTATGGGTGTGTGGGGGCTGGGGGAACAGGTGCCTACTGGGGATGGGGATGGAGCTGCAGTAGGGAAGGGAGGACAGAAAGAAGCTGCCTGCTGCTCCAGCGGAGAAAGGAAGCAGGAAGGCCCTTCAGGGCTGGCAGGCTACCAAGTCAGCAGCACCAGGACTGGTGCCCATGCTCACAGGGGCAGGATGGCCGGGAAACGCTGCCAGGGGGGAAGGTGGCCAGGCAACCTGGCACAGTGTTGGAACTCCAGCCAGCAGTGCTGGGGGTGGGGCTGTGACTTGGGAGTGAGGGACAACAGCATGGGCAGGGCTGCTCAGCAGCACAAAGCAGCTGGGAAGACAGCTGCAACTGGACACACATCCTGGTAAATGAAGGGAACAGGGAGAGTTCTGATTTTTCCATGATAAAAAACCCCCAAAATCAAATGCCAAAATATAGGTATTTAGAATGTATTTACTCTAGTGATTGAGGCACTGGTAGGCTTCCAAATGGCTTTAAAATGGTAAATATATTAATAAAACAGTGTGTTCAACTAATACCTATATATATAGTGGCATTTCATTTTAGTTGCAGAAAAACATTTGATTTTGGGGGTTTTAATTGGAGAATTGGGGGGGGGGGGGTTTTTTTTAGAGAAACTGCAATTTTTAAACAGAGAAAACCAGGATCCCTACTAATTAACAAGATGTGCCAGGAGCCACAGAAAGGACTTTCCAGCTCCAAGCAGGATGATTTTCCCTGTTGAAGTTGCTGGAAAGGAAGACAGAAAAAGAAAAGGCAGGAACTCTTTGCAGAGCTTCCTCCAAGTTCACATAGTTTATGGAAGAAGTTAATTTTCCTCTGATTTTCTTGGCTCCACCGTTGAAGCGTGTGTGGGGTAAAGCAGAGGGAGAAGGATTAGTTTCAGTGTTAATTTTGATTTAGTTCTTCACAGGAGGTTAGGAGCCAGTGTGAAAATGCAGTTTCTCCTGGAAGTGAGGAGCTCGGAACCACTGAATATTTGTTTTGTGCTTGATGACAGCTCAGGAATAGTACTGGAGAGGAGGGGACAGGAGTATTTAGATTTGGTAGGAGGGACAAAGAGCTGCTGAGAAAAGAACATACAAGCTTTAGCACCAAACCATAAAATGTAGAGGACAGGGCTGCTGGTGAACCATCCAAACAAAAACAATTTAAGGACATCAGGCCCCAAATCAGGTGTACAGCAACTGGATCTGTCAGGCTATTACTGGCCCAGAGTCTAGCTAGAATGGGATCCTGTCTGCATCAGAAGCCAACAACTGCTGCTTCCAGAGCAAACCAAAAGCCGCACAGTGGCCAATTAAACAATATTAAGCCCCATAGAAAGGATGTTTCTCCCCGCTTTCACATTTTGTGCTGATCAGTTTATGCCCTGACTCATGATTAGCCTGATCCTCTTAATCTTAGGGCCTCAGCTATGCTGTTCTCACTCAATCGTTCCAAAAGTTCTTGGAATCTCTTATTTGCCTTAGTCTTTTCCTGCAGCAAGTTCCACCAGTTTATTATACCATAAAATATGCAAAGTAATTCCTTTATTTCTTTTGATTTGCTACCTTTTTAAAGAGCTGTTCCTATCACAGACAGTTCAGAATCTAAAGGAGCAGCAAGCTAAATTCTGTGGCACAGTTGTTGAGTTTGCTGACAGACTAACTCTGGCAGCAGTATAAAATACAAGGGAAACATTCACAATGTTAAAGACCCAGGGGGTTTCAAATGCTGGATGACTAGATTACTTCTGACTCACCCAGCTGCATATTCCCACTAAAAACAAACAGCTGGCTTTGCAGTTTATTAAAGCATTAATTAACAGGGGCAGAGGCAGGGCAGATGGATGACTACCTTTGTACCTTCCCCAGGCTGTACCATTC